ACAGACAGGACAAGACTCAACGATTCATGCTCCGAGGGTTTATCGCTGCAAAGAATAAGAACAACGTTATTACGGAGTTAGCAGAACCATATCTTGAGAGAAGAGGACAGCTGTCTAGATCAGGCCAGGCTCGGGTTAAATACTCACAATGAGACTTTAAAATCAAAGTTCGGATTGAGACCGCCGGAAACGGTGTGAGATCCGATAGTGATCCTGGTCTCTTCGGTTTGGACGGCAATTTCGATGCTTGAAATCGCTCCTTCGTCATCCCAGGAACAAGGAAGGTTCACTGCTCGTATCACTGAAAGGAATAAGATAATGATTGCATTGATTTGGGAATGTTTGGAATGACTTCGAATATGAACACCATTTATAATCACGCCTCATACGAATCTGACTTGGTCTACTCACCACGTAGGGTCAACAGCCCTCGATTCTCTCGAATGGCCAGATAAACTTCAGCAGCATTGGGAAGCTTCGTGGGAGCTTCCAACGATTCCGGAGATGGGAGCGCAACACAGAGAGTGTTGCGACAGGGCTTTTTCTCAGGCCTTATCAGTCGTTTGATTGAAAGAATCGAGTCGCTGTCGAGGTCGATACCCCTCACTCGCTAATTTTTCTTACAGCCCTTTGTGAATATGCGTTCATCGAAATTTCAGAGAGTTATGATTAAGTCAGCAGAGGGGAGATGGAGCCGCGATTCAGGTGGATGAGACTGACTTCTTCCTGGGAACTATGAGCTTTGAGCATAGCTCATCATGTGAGAGGCCGGCCGCTCGCCGGCCCGAAAATCACTTTCCAGGCGAAGAGTGACGATTTATGATCTTGGCGTCTCCGGATGCTGCGCTCCTTCCTCAGTAGGAACAGAATTTCTCGTGACTCTTTCTCTTACACGAGAATATCCGACCTGGAAATCTTGGACGTCATCGATGTGGCTACAACCTCTCTGAATGATTCCACTGCCTGCATTCAACGCTTTATGATCTCTCGAGTAAAGGGATCCGAGCCACTTTGCTCCTGCGAGACGATCCGTCAGAGTGTAATGGGTTTCCTGAAATGAGCCATTCCCGACCTCCGGCTATACCCAGCGTTCTGTGCGCGTCGGCGGTACTCGCACGGAGGCAGTTGCGTCCCCGATTTGATTGGAGCAGCGATGCCAGCAGCGCTAGCGAGCCGCGCCACAGAGTAGACTTCTCCGAGGGCGTCGGTGAGAAGGTTTTCAGATGCTTGATCCACCTAGGAACACGGTTTCCATCAAAAGCCGCTCCCGGAAAAATGAGGACCGGATTCCCACCTCTGTCCCCGAAACTTTCTGAGAACAAGCAGTCGTCTTCTACAATTCTACATCGTGGGGAAGGGGAATAAAAATTGTGTTATGGATACGAGTCCCAGATCCCAGAGCTAAGCGCCGTGCCGTCGGATTTGGATCTGGCATCGCAAGCATGAGGCGCTCGTGCCTAAAGGAAGGGTTATACTACAGCTGATGAACATCCCTACAGAAAACCACGGGCTGAACAGATTTGTTCCTCCTCGTCCTCCATATATCATCAAGAAACACGCTGTCTGATGATAACTTCCTCCCATGAGCTTGCTTCCATGAGAGAGGAAGATCCGTTGATGCGGTCTGGCGCGAATAAAACAAGGCTGCGAACAGAGCTTTTTTCAGAGGTGATCTACTGCTATAATCAAGCCGGGCAAGGCTGGCAAGTGTGTTCGCCCATCCATGAATAATTTCGCTCTCTCTGGTGCGTTCGATTCGGGATGCGGATCTGATTCCGGAAGGTGCCCCTTGACTCGGGTTCAAGAACAGCTAATTCCTGAGTCATTCTGAAGATGCAAGTTTGATTATCCGATGCTCAAGAGGGCACTTGTGTTCCAGGCTGCCTTCCTGTTCAATGGTCGTAAGTTGAAGAAACTTGTCCAGAGAATCATTCGTGAATCCAGTCCTGGTTTGCAAGTCGAGGCCGGGGAAAGTTCCGAAACCGAAAATTCCGTATATTTAGACGTTGGCGAATTGGAGTATAACTGTACGTCTATTTTCTCCGCAGCTGATTTGGCGGAAAACTTGTGCTTAGGAAAGAAGTTGACACCCCATCGTGTACGGCCTCATGGGGGAACCGCATCAGCACTCTAGGCTAGGCTTGATCATCCCGCATTGTAACCGTCATTACTGTGTCCACCACCTCCGGATCCGGCTCCCATTTCGAATCGAACAATTTCGGGCTGGACCACACAGCAAAGCTCTAATGTCCCGCGGACTGTTATTCACATTGTTCCCGAGGACGGATCCATCGAGCGGATGTACCCAGGAGGATCAAGACCGAGTATCTGAATATTTCGCCGGCAGCAGGGATCGAACCTGTGCCTCCTCCCGCGCGAGCGGCGAATTTCAATTCGAGATAGCAGATTATCTGCGTCGAACATCTGAATTTGGCTCTACGTAACCGGGAGAATCTCGAAGTTAATCGAGAAGTCGTTTGACTCGCCTTGGGGACCCCTTGTTCTTGTCTCAAAAACGACAGACCAAAGTCAGAAGCTTGATGTTGCCATCAGTGATTTGATTTTGTTGTACCATCGCCAATGTCACATCGGGATCATTCTATTGAAGCGTATCCATGATCGAGCCGGGTCCGCGAGCTCCCATTCCCAGGGATTTCCCAAGCGAATCTCCCGACTGCGGGCTATCCCGAGGAGCTGCATATAGGGGCTGCAGAGGTGTCCAGGGGTCGAAGGTCCAGCCTCCGATTGGGCAGTCTCCGACAATGCTTCTCCAGCGATTTTCATCCGAAGCTTCAGGCCGGATCGAAGCTTTGCGAGCTGATCGATCACCGCCTCACCATATCGTTATCACTATCATCAAGTTACTGAATTTACGAGGACGATATCCCGCGAAGTCTTGTCTGAACTTGCATCCTGGTAAGCGGAATCGAGCTTATCACTGGTGTTGATGAGAAGCTATCCGAGAGCTCTACGTTCCCCTCAGAGGCACTTGGCTCCCTTCCGGCGTCCAAGAACTCGGTTCCGGCCTCCGCTGATAAGCATAGGTCTCGCCGACTTCGCTGATAAGCCTGGGACTCGCCGCCTCCAGGATCCGATATAAAGCGTTCTTCGTCCGTATCTGAATGCAGACATCCTCGAGCGGACCGGTCGAATTTCTGCTCCCTCATTTCGCGCTGCTTACGTGCATCTCGAAGGCCTCGAAAGCTCAACAGATAGTATTTCCCTGGGGCCTGATGTCTAAGAACGCTGAGGAGCTGCTGGATAGTGTCCGGGAATTCCAAAGCTTTTTGATCCGGGTGTTCCGCTTGGAAAAGCCGCTTCACCGTGGCGTCGGCGCTTTGTCGAATCCCAGCCGGCAGGCAGATTCGGAGAAGCGGATAGCCCTCTTCGGAAGGTCAACAGAGAGGTTGACTCGCAAGTCTTCATTCTTCGGAGGAGCGCGGGATTCGCGCGGGAATCGCGGAGCACAGACCCGGAGGAAATCCGTTCCTCAATTTTTCGAACCTGCCCTGAACATGCTTTCGGTGATCGCCAGAGGACGAGCGAGAGTACAGAACCGCTGCCCACTCTGCGGCTCAGCGTTCGAAGGAGGAGCACTCGGACGTTTTCAAGCTTGCTCATTCCTCGTTTCTGAGGATCAGCGGACGGTCCCGTCAATCAAGCCGCGATTCGCCTTGGATGATTCCGATAAGTCAGCCGAATCCGACCTGGAAACCTCCCTCAGTGACGACATGTGAGTAAATATCCGCAAACGATCACTTACAGCCAGGGAACGACTTGCGAGTTCTTGCGGTTGGGATGTGGGCTCTTTGCATCCCCCGGCCCTACAGATTTTTCTCCTGACAGGATACCGTCTGCTGAAGTGGGAGACTTGTCGTCTTGGGTAGTCTTCTGGCATCGCGAGAGGGAAAACCGGCCGGAGGAAGCTCCGCCGGTCCCCCGGAGAAAAATTTCCCCTTTCAAGGAGATGGGAAAAACGGAGCCAGTCACGACTTGGATATTCCCGCCGGAAGAAGCTGACACAGAGGAGACAATATTGTGATTTATTATGAGCATAATGGATCTCATACTTTTGAATAAATTATCTTTTGCGGAAATGACACACAAGAGGTGCGTATCGGCGAGATTCACAGTGTAGTTCCAGAGTCCTCGAACATCCGGCAAGATTCCCCATTGTCCCGTATTCCGAAACTGGGTGTCGGAGAGTCTCGACCTCGCTGTGAAACTGAATCTGACTGTCTCTTTCTCGAACCGTCATTGGTCCAACGGCGTGACTAGACGATGTGGCGACCGGGGCGTATCTCAGAGATGCCATCTCATTCTCTAGTCCGGATTTCTCCTTCTCACTCGTCGGACTTCCTGGAGGTTTCATGTTCCCCTTGAGGTCTTCTTTAAGTGGAGCTCTCCCCTCAGGAGACGGTAGAAAAGCATTCCCCACTTCTGCTCTACCGGAGAGTGGTGTCCCCTCAGAAGCGGCACCCGTCGCGAGCCGCAGACCCTTTCCCCGCAAGGATCGCCCTTCCAAACATCCACATGAGGGCCTGCGATTGGGATATCCCTCGGTCGATGCCATTGGGCAAACAGGGTGTCCGAATACGAGTGGAATCAGGTCTCAGGTCTGTACGCCAGGCCGAGATACTGGAGGATCAGTCGTCGACCGTTTCGAGCTCTACTGCATAGAGTCCGCAGACGGATCGATCGTATGAGAACGAATCGTCTCAGCAAGCAATCGTGACGGGAATTGGCTCAGATTGAGCTGTAGAATACAGTTCCCGAGCGAGCTCTTCCTCGTCATACACATGGCCGGTTGTGAGTTTGAACGGATTGTTTTTTTCACCCGAATCCTCCATCTTATCCCGAGCGTAGGGCTTTTAGACTGTAGAGCTTTGAACCGTGCTGAGAGGACAAGGCTGAGGCGACCGCGACGGCTCCTGTTCACTTCATTCCACGTCCGCGCTGCCGACGATTGCGATCAGCTCGCACCAAGTACCAAAGCGCGCAACCAAGGACAGCTGTAGTGAGTACCGCCGTTGACGTCGGCGATTATGATCACGATTGTAGTTCTGTTGATGACGGTAGCGAGGCGTCGTTGTGGTCGTCGCGGTCAGTTCACTCTTCTTTCCAAAGAATTCTCTCTCTCGACCGTTTTCGCCCCTCCGATGCGGTTCGACGCAGCTGCAGCGTGTTTTCCAAACGCTCTGTCGAAGATTTATCAACAGTCGCCACGGCCTTCTCGAACATCTTTGAAACCCAGTAAGTTGATTGTCGATCGACGTGAGCTTTGTTCTGATTACGGTACGCATCTTCCTGGTCTCCTCGGAGCTTCGGAAGTGTTGAATAATTTGAGCATACCATCACGCGCCGTGGAGCACCCTGTAGATAACCTGTCTCGCACTCTACCGTCACCGTTTTCCTAATTTTCTTCGGGATAAATGATTCTCTGTGGGAATCACGAGCGGATCCGAGAGTTCCTCTGGGAGCGCAGAACCATTTCCTGAATGGTCCAACTCAGGGATTTTATCTCTCAAGAAGAGATAAGAGTTCTATTTGAGTAGCCGAGATCATGCTCCTCCCAGATTTGAGGACGATTTAATTAAATGGTTGTCTTTCCGACACATGCTCAGAATGCTCATGACACGCATCCGTGTTCCAGAGTCCCCGTCCAGCTTCGCGGCTAGAACTCGGGGATGTCTGCTGAAAGAGTCCTCGAACGCAGAAAGATTCTGCTGTCATGTCTCTCCGTGTACGCAATATCCATGTTAGCGGTGGGATGCACAGACGGAGCTATGCTGCGATTCGGCATATTGTTCCCGAAAGTTTTCTGTGACGATGTGAGTATCCTCAGCCGCATTCGCCCAGGGCATTCGCCCATACAACCAGAAATGATGGAGCGGTTCCTAATTCGATTGAAGTAATGAGAACGACGATCTGCGGATCTTAACTTGGAAAAACCCCAAGAAATACGCGACTACCTCGGAGCGTCGCACGAGGTCATCAAAATACCGCCGCGCTCCTGCTTGTTGGCTCAGGGCTGGCCTTCTGTCGCGGCATTCGTCGCCTGAGGTCACCGGACTCGAGTACTGAAATATTTCTCCTTCTTTCCCAGTACACGAGATGCGACAATGAAAGTCTTTGTTTGAATCATCTCAATCTCACGACCGGATGCTACGAAAAATTATGTGAGTTTCGAAAGCGACCGTGACAGACCACTCTGCGACAGAAACGCGCGGCATGGATACTCGATTTCGAGTCTCTACGATTCTGTCCGATCGCTCGGAGCAGTCACGAATCGTGTCTGGTGTTCCTTTTTGTAGGTGTACCCCAAGAAAACTTGACCAGACTGTCATGTGAAACACTGAACTGCCAACAGGATTTCGAGTGCAAACCGTGTACTGCCCGAAGCGCGGACTGCGACGGGCTTGGCTACGAGTGTATGAGTCTTGTTTCACGTTAGATAGGCTCGGAGTAGTCTTCCGAGGTCTTCAGCAGAGGATGATCTAGAGTTCCCCCGATTCGGATCGAATCTCGCTTCGAAGCATCGAAATCTGAGAGAAGTTTTCTTTTCAACAGGTGTTCCGGAGAGACATCAAAGCTGTTTAACTCTGAGATGTGAGGATGACTACGAATGCGTGCAACAGAGGCCGATTCCGGGACGGGGTCCAGCCTGTCGCGCAAACTTAGCCGTTGATACGCACATTTGTAAAAAAAGGGAATATCGCGAATATCCTAGAACAAGCCCCTCTCCAATAGTAGCCCGTCCCCAACAGAAGCCGTCCTCGAATAGTCACCTGTCTCCGTTGGGATCCCCCCTGGGGCGATTTTAATCGAAACACCGAGGGGCTCTGCTGCAGAATGGGTCTCAAGTTCCTTAAGTCACAAGGTTTCCAGCTTCTTCAACTCTCTTCATCTTCATCACCGTCATCGCGCTACTGCGCCTCCAATCACCGGGGGGCACTCTCTAATTGGAGCTCCCCTGTTGGGGGGTCCGATTAAATGGAAGCCCATCACTAATAGAAGCCTTCATGGGGCGGGCTTTGAAATTATAGGAGCCCGGGCCTGTACTGGAATATCTAGGGTATTTGATCTCGTTACGATTGGCTCGGGTGCCTCGATTCCGAACCAGGCTCCATGCTTCGGGAAGTTTTCTCGTAAATGTTGGCACCATATGTGTTGCTTCATAAGATTCATGAGGGTCACGGAGAACCAACTGTTACCTATATCGCAGCAATAAATAACCCGCTTGGAGGTGATTCTTTATTGATTCGTCACGCAGGACTACATTGCACTCAGTTGTCCTCAATGTCTGAATCCTCCTCGGTTTCATCGCCGTCCTCGTCGCCGTCGTCTTCGTCTGCCTTGACTTCTTGCAGCTCACCTAATAACTCATCGATGTGAGCCACCATCTTCTCGTCATCACATTCATATTTGTCGGCGACCTGGAATCGGAGAGTTCTTGCATCAGAACAGCCTTCGGAAGCACTCCCGTACACCAGAATCGAGCCCGCTTTGCCGATTCCGATGATTATTATTAAACCTGATGATCGATGATCAACCAGCGTGGAGCTCTTTGTCTTACTTTCTTAGCCTTCTCTAGATAGAATTTTGCATTTCCAAGGTAGTCGGCACCCTTCAAGAAATTCGTCCATCCCAGAAGGTACCAGACGTCGACACACTCTTCGTCTTCCAGCACCAGACAGTCGAGAACATTGATGGCTTCGTCGTACATTTCCAACTCGAGAAGGAGCTTCGTACCGGTGAGACGCGAATTGAATGGGGGTATCTACGGAAAATATTAATTTCGTATTCGCTCTTGAATCTTGCCACGCGACTCGCCCCGATCGTTCCAAAAATATCAAGATTCGTTCGAGCTGGACGGGACCGAGGAACTCACCTGATCCGCTAACTCTTCTGCGCCTTCGACAAGCCTCTCGAATTGCGGCAACCAGAGATCCAGCGACCTCTTCATTTCCTGTTTGGCCATATCGAACTCTTCTTTGATAACATGGTAGGCAGCTTTGGCTTGGAAAGCTTCAGGATTCTGCGAATCTCTCTCAATTGCCGTGCGGATCGAGGAGACGACCATCTCTTCGGCTTCGGGCTCATCGCAGAGATCTGGGGAGGGTACCGGTACAATTCAATGCTTCTTCTTCGTCTAACTCTACCTGCCTATCGATCCGAGTCTCTTATCATTCAGTAGCGCTGTCAAGAGAGTGGTAGAACCCACCTGTGGTATACAATTCACTAACACAAACATGAACATTTGATAATTTTCGTAGAGTAGACTTTTCTGGGTTTTCTTTGTCTTCCTCCTCCATGGCGACTGGTTGTTGAAGCTCTCGTTCCAAGATTTCTGTGAATGAATGAAGGAGAGTGAGCGTCCGGCCGAAAGAGGACTCAATCGATCACATAGATTCGCGGTGCCGCAAATGAGCTGTTTGCGGGTAGGAGGACCGTGGTCAGTCTCTCACCAATAGCTTTCCGGAGACATCTTAGGCTCTCCTTTCCCTCTTCGAGTTCTGCCAAAGAGAGCCATTTGTCAGGCTGACTATCCGGTGCGAGTTCACACGATCGTTTTAGATGCTGGAAATGGACTTATGGTTGGGGACCGGACGTGGAATACCATGGAGACACCACATGGGGGCTCGTCACCAGATTCGGATGTCATGACACCATGACAGTTGGAGGATTTTCATTTAATCAGTACTTGCGGAAGACTCACTCTTTTTGCTTCTTGGGGTCTGTCGAGTTCGAGTAAACAACCCGCCAGAGAGAACATCACCTCCGCACTCGGTTCTTTCCGCAGAGAGGCGGTGAAATGTTTGAGGGCTCCATTGAAGTTTCCCTCCTCGAGGCAACTCTCAGCTTTCGCTATCAAGTCTTTCGCGGACTTCTCTACCTTCTTCTTGCGGAACTTCCCCATTTCTTGGGTGCCTGTCACTCCACCTGCAGAAAGAACTGCGATGCGCTCCCAGCGCAGAACATTCGTCTCGACGACAACCATGTGCTCGGAAGCGACGACTCGTGTTTACAAGCAGAGGCGCCAGAATTCGAATCTTCCATCTCGCGGCGGCCTGACTTTTCTCGGATTTCTTGCGAAGAGAGCGCTCGAACTGTTGGTAATCGATCGGAAGCTCACACTGATTGGATCCGGGAAAGTTGAGCCTTCCCGAACGAAGTTTACCGGAGGTGATGGATCCGTCGATCCCGTCGGCAGTAGCATGGGCTCCCGGCGTCCGGATCGTTTCGGGCGTCTCGGCGTCTCACGGCTCGAGTCAGGAGGCTCCAACGGAAACCGGCGCGCCCCCAAACCCGCTCGAAACTCTCGATGAAATTCTATAAAGCTCATTGCAGTCAACCACACTCGCTGTTCTAGCGACGTAGCGCGGAGCGACCTCTGGCGGCAGGAACCCACAACGTTTCTTGGAATTGAAGTGACTCACTGGGAGAGGATTGTTTCTTCAGCGATCGCCAGAGCGGCAGCCACGGCGCGGCGCCTGTGGCAGACAATCAGCAGTTGCTGTGAAGAACCTCATACTTGGTGCTGCAATGTGACAGCCGGACGTCTAAAGGCTCAGAACGAAGCTCAGCCTGATCTTTCTTCTTCTTATCGAACTCTAAGTTTTCATCGATCTTAACCTGGAGAAATCATGCGAGGACTCGCTGTTGTGCTGCTGTTCTGTGGTTTGCTTTCACCAGTGTCAGCTCTGCTCCCAGGGCCTCATACGTGTGTTCGGACAGTCGTCAGAAAGGTGAACGTAACGAAAGCTACGATCATACCACATATCGTCCAAACCCACACCTACTGCTTTCCGAAAATCAATTGCGTGAAGAACAAAACGGAATACTCGCGGGGATTCGAAACGGTTAGTGTGCTCCTAGATATCCGTGTATTCCAACAGGACGAGTTACATATTCCCGGATACAGCTGCGATACGACGTCGGAGGACCTATCTTGAGGATACTCGATCTCCCTCCAATGAGAATGAATCGAGAAAATTTCGAGCCTCATTTGTTACCACCGAGTTACCAAGGCTCGGTGAGGGATTTCGCGATTGTAGCTCGGGGTGATTCTCGTTTCCCGCAAGGGTGGACTAGTTTCGCACTGGCCAATGAGCTTGATAATTCACATGAAGATCGTCTCGTGCGATCCTGCGATAATCGCTGCTGTCTGCAGCATCTCGGTGCGGGCGTTCTGGTAGAAAGGGGCTCGTTCTCTGTTTTTGACGTGGTCAGTCCGTGCCAACGCTTGGCACACCTTAATAGGGTACCGACCGTACTCCGGATTTCTGGATGGAAGCCAGCGTCGATCACGACGTCATGGTGAACCCGACTGGGACAGCGTAGCATAGGAGTTGACCGCTGCTCGAGCCGTTTCCGAGTGTGGACATCGGATTTCAAGTGTTTTCATTTCTCGGTCGAAACTAAAGCTCTCGCTTCCATATGCATAGCGCTCATAAAGTCTGCGAAGTGGATCTCCGATTCAGTAAAGAGCACCCGAGCACTCTGCCGAAAGCACCATGGTGTCGGATTCTGTCGGAGAGATTCCTGAAGCTCGTCGCTGTCGGAATCGCCGTTCGCCATAAGTGATCGACTGCATTGAAGAGTTCCGAGAAAGATTTGACCATTACATTCGTCGAACAAAAACTTTGGCGACGCGAATTCTCCTGTAATGAAAGCAGTCTCTGGCGCGCGTGTCTCGGGAGGTTACAAATACTACGTTCGTGTCGAGGAACGGACTATCCTTTTGCTTTGCTTGCTGACCATTGAGTGCCGCTGGAGCGGTATTCTTTGTCCTATTGGGCAAAGAATCTCTCTGAATGCCCTTCTCGCGTGAGAAATCTTTTATCGAGCTGCACTCGAGTTTACCGTTCGAAATCATCGCCCGCTGTTATCGTCCGTCCATTGCTGAAGCCACACAGTGTTTCCAGACCGCCAGCGTCCAGCACTATCTGAATCCTGCAGCGGCTGGATGATGTCAGCGCTTGTCTAGTATCGTTCGCTATCAAACTGCATAGCCACCACTGTCAAAAACGCTCTGACGACGTTCTAGATTCCTGAGTGTCAGGCTTCTGAGCGACATACATTTCGATATCGTCCATTTCAGTCAGTCAATCGGGGTACGCTTCGTCGCCTCGAGGACAATCCGAAGGGATAAGGGATTGTTTCATTGATTTTCGGACTGACTGACTGACTGACTGACTGGCTGACTGACTGAGGTCTCGATTGATCCTCGAATGCGCGGAGGAGCAGTCGGAAATCGGCACACGAAGGCTGCCAGAAGAATCCTCGACTGTTCGGATGAAAACTTGGTGAATAACTTGAGTTTTGTGTCTGATTCCCAAAACTATCGAGGACGACCGGGGAGGTTTGGCTCGAAACCAAATGTTCATGTAATGAGCTTGAAATGCCGTATGAAGTGAACGGAGAGTGAAATATCGACACGAAAATGAAGCTTGTGGGACATATTCCTATTGGTATTGACAGTGACAGAACACGACGAATCGCTCATCTCCCCTGGCCGCGGTGGTTTTTCTGGGGAAAGCCGTGGTCGCAAAATCATTTGCCGGCGCAGCATCCGAACTCTTCACCGACAAACAGCGTGATCCCGCCGCGTATTTCTGCTCGCGTGATTATGTAAGAGAAGCGGTGACCTTTCAGTCAAGTTCGCCTTCCATGGGCTCAACTCTCCCTCTATCCGCTAGAGATCCACCTGAACAGTGAGAACGCATGAAGAAAATCGTGCTCGACGCAAATAGTTGATATCATGGTAGAAAACTGAAGGTCGAATGCGTCATTGGTCATTGCCACCATCTCTGGGATACTCGAGATGGACAGCGCGAGAAACTAGGAGTCTGGGCTAATCAGGCCGCGGAGGAGAATGTGGCTCACGTACCGTTAGAATCGCTGGACGATCTTCTAATTTACCAGAACATTCTATTCCAGGTCGAGGAAGAGCGTTACGATTCGGAGAACTTCTGCTGTAATGGATACCAGCTGTCCGTCGACGGCAAGAGCTGTCAAGCCACTTGCGATCCACCGTGTCTGAACGGAGATTGCATTGGACCGAACACCTGCCTCTGCCCACCGGGCTACGGAGGCTCCCAATGTCAGATCAACTGCACTCCAGGATTTTGGGGCGAGAACTGCGATCGCGCCTGTCCCTGCAAAAACGGAGCGTCCTGTGACGCCGTCACCGGGAAATGCAATTGCAAACGCGGCTGGACAGGAGACACTTGCGACGAGCAGTGTCCCCCGAAGAGATACGGCCAAGACTGCGATCAGGTCTGCCGGTGCAAGAACGGCGCGAGCTGCGACCCGGAGTCGGGAGCTTGCAAGTGTGCGCCGGGCTACCGCGGTCCTCTGTGCAACGAGAAATGTCCTCACGATACCCATGGAGAAAACTGTCAAAGCAAATGCAATTGCCAGAACGACGCCGAATGCAATCCAATTAACGGTGCGTGCATCTGCAAGCCCGGTTGGAGCGGCGAGGTTTGTGCCAACACTTGCCCTCAAGGATATTTCGGTGCCGATTGCAAAGAGCGCTGTTCGTGCTACAACAACGCCGACTGCGACGCCGAGTCCGGAAAATGCATCTGCCCGCCAGGTTACATGGGCGAAAAATGTGAGGACTTCTGTCCGACAGGTCACTGGGGGAAAAATTGCTCCTTCAGCTGCGACTGTGCGAACGGTGCCACCTGCGAGACCTCGTTGGGGAAATGTGTCTGTCCCGAAGGCTATACTGGTGACCGCTGCGAAAATCGCGCCTGTCCGGACGGTTACTTTGGCAAGGACTGCAGAGAGCGCTGCCAATGCAACGCGAACCACACAGAGCACTGCCACCCGGTTTCGGGCGAATGTGTCTGCAAACCCGGCTGGTTCGAGGCGATTTGCGAACGGTCTTGCACGCCGGGAACCTACGGAAGGAACTGTGGCGAGATCTGCGACTGCAAGAACGGAGCTATGTGTGATGCCGTCAACGGAACCTGTACGTGCGAGCCCGGATTCTACGGTAACAAATGCAACTTTACCTGTGCCGCAGGGACGTACGGCCAAGGATGTCTGCAGAAGTGCGATTGCGAACAAGGTGTCGACTGTGACAAACGCACCGGCGTATGCCAATGCCCACCAGGACATTACGGAGTCGCCTGTCAATCGATCTGTCCCTTCGGTCAGTTCGGTAGCGGTTGCGTCCGAAAGTGCTTCTGCGATCACGGCGGGGACTGCGACGCCGAAACAGGAGATTGCATCTGCACTCCTGGCTACCGTGGCGAGAGATGCGATCAGAATTGTGCTTCCGGACGCTATGGACAGGGTTGTATGTTCCATTGTCAATGCGAACGGGACAACTCCCTGGGTTGTGACCACGTCACGGGAGCCTGCAAGTGCAAGCCCGGTTGGAGGGGCGCTCGATGCGAAACTCAGTGCGAGCAGGGCCTGTGGGGTCCTTCGTGCGAGGAAAAATGCGAATGTGGTCACGACTCTCATTGCGACCAGTATAGCGGTCAGTGTTACTGCAGCCGCGGTTACACCGGGGACAAGTGTTCGATCAAGTGTCCCGCCAATTATTTCGGCTTCAACTGCAACCAGCAGTGCCCGAAGTGTCAAAATGCCCACGAAGGATGCGATCACATCGACGGCGGGTGCAAATGCCTGCCCGGATGGTCTGGACCGCTTTGCGAGAAACCATGCCCGAAAGGAAGTTACGGGGAAAACTGCGGGCGCCAGTGTACGTGCAAGAACGACGCCGACTGCGACCCGGTAACCGGCGAGTGTACGTGCAAAGCAGGCTGGACCGGTAAAAACTGCAACGATACCTGCGCGGAGAACTTTTTCGGAATCGGCTGTCGCCAACGATGCGACTGCCGCAACGGGGCCCGATGCCGGAACAACGACGGCCAATGCGTCTGCACGCCGGGCTGGGTCGGGAGCCGTTGTACGGAAGGATGTCAGAACAACATGTACGGCGACGGCTGCACGTTCCCTTGTCTGTGTGATTCGGAACGGGAGGTCTGTCTTCCGGTTGAGGGCTGCGTTTGCAGATTCGGTCAGGAGAGCGGGGGCTGTACGCCTCGATCCGAGCCCTTGACTCTGGCCTCGCAAGGCAAGGAAAGCACCGGTTTGGCGACGACTCTGATCCTCCTCGGCTTAATAGTTGTCATCGCGATCATCGGATTAGTGATCATGCATTATCGGCGAATGGTAACCGGACTGAAGCGTGAGCTCGCCAACGTCTCTTATCGCCGCGACCCACCCGAGCCAGCGGATCAAACTCATTTCGACAATCCTGTTTACTCGATGGCGCCCCCCGTTCAGACGGCGACCCATCCCAAGACTCTGAACAACGGATTGAAAGTCAGTCTTCCTAAACCGTTGGCCTGGGAGCGGGAAAAAGTCGCTGCGTTCGATAACGACTTCGGCAGCGCGTCGTGCAGCTCCGTCGAAGCTTTCAGGAAGAAGATGCTCGAAGCGGACATGGTCGCCGACGAGTACGAGAAAGATTGTGACTTCAACTTCCGGCCCGACATCTATCAAACGATCGACGAGTCGAAGGCTCTGAACAAGGAGCCGTTCTACTGTGAACTCAATCATAAGAAGGAACCGACCTTCGATTGGGATCTGCCAGAAGTTCCCGCACCGGTGGCTCCGAAGAGCATTGCACCCACAAATCCCTTCGGTGGGGTAAGTCCCACCCGTGACGAGAAAAAATTGCTCAACGTGACACCGCTACCGCCCCAGGACCTCAACCTGAATTCAGATACGTTGAGGAGAGCATCAGGGAGCAACAGTGGGAGCAGCTCCGGGAACGAGAGCACGGGGCTCGAATACGACCATCTCGACCACAACAGGCCAAAGACCGATGTTCATCCGGGCTACTTCAAAATGTCGAGCAACATGAGCTCCAGTAGCAACAACGTTAATCTCAATACGAGCGCGAGCAGCAACAACAACATCACCAGCCCGAACAAGTGAACAGCGGGAAGTCTTGTAAGTAATATGAGTTCCCTTGCCCTTTCCTCGCTAGCTTTCTGAATATAAAATAGAAGTATATTCATAGAATTCAGTTCACGAGGCATGCTCTATCATCCGGACGCCGTGCCGGCGGGAAATGAAAAACAACCGGAAAACTGGAGCTCTCCGGTATTTTTACCGCTGAAAGCTTAAATATCAGGTTTTCCCGATCTTCGCGGGGACTTGAGAGTGCGCCGTTCGATATCGATACCTTAGTCCGAGAGAGGGAGAGCGTAAGCGGAGCGGAAGTTTCGAGAGCAATTCGGTGCTTAGACTTTCCCCAGCGTTTCGAAATCAGCCCCCATCCCGGTATAACAGAAGGGCAAATCGACAAGTTGTTTCTCGGAATGAGATCAAGAAAAAAACGCGGGTCTCGTCTCTGTAATCTGCTTCGAGAGGCCTCGCGATCGTACAGAGACACGCTTATCACGTCGTCGATTCACCACCGCAAACGAACCCGAATATACTCGGCTGATTGGCCCGATGGACAAAAGAAATCTATCAGCGCTAGAGCTGCTGTCGTCACGACGACCAGCGTCGCTAGAGAGACGGCGGCTTTCGCCGTCGTTGCCACGCCCACCACCATCTCCAGGAACCGTGGGATCATATCGCTCTCTGAGCCCATACGCTTTTTCCAACCCATCCCAATCCGGAAATAGTTGAAGCCTCCAGCAACTCAAAACAAGAGAATCGCATTACGAACACGACTTCGCTCCATCAGATGCGTCCTCTGTCCTCCCCTTGGAACGCGAATTACCGCGCCTTTCCCGTCGTACGGAAGTTCGCCCTTCTGTGAATGAAATCATCAAAACGTTTCCCTTGGTGTGGGACGGCGACTGCGATGATTCCGTTCAAAGCTTCTTCTATTGGAAGAGTTCCCCGCCCTAACATTTCCGTATTCTTCATTGCAGAGCCTTTCGCGCGCAAATCCACCCACTGGTTGCAATGCAATATATTTTTGTGATACAAGCGGCTTGTATACCAGAGTTCCGGATCCAAGATATCGCGCAGAAACGCCGATATGTCGAATATCGTCTCAATAAGTTCGTCGTTCTACTCTCAGCCCGAACCACTCGAAAATGTGTTTCATAAGGATTGGCTTTCGGGTCTCGAACTATTTCACGGGTATCGGAGTCACTCAAAGTCCTGTATATACTATGTAGCATGATTGTTTAGAAGAAGTAAAATGACTCGATCGACTTGTAAGTATTGTTGGAGAAGAGTGAGACTCCTGGAAAGGGTCACATCGAGCGTTAGGATTCATGTATTTGATGACAGTGAATTCAATAGGATATGACGAAGGAGCGACACAGATCAATGATGTTCTCGAGAAGCAAACGATTCTAGAAGTCCCAAAATCTACTGCTCGTCCTCAAATAAATCGAAACAGAGCGCAGTGTTTTTTTCTGACGCTCAAATCCCACGTTTGCTCGAGCATTCGTCCCGAATCTTGGTTTCGCTTGATATTTTTCCGATTCCGAGGCCAAGATTTTTCGATTATCATGAGTTATGATCATTGACTCCCTGGAAAGTCTCCTCGATTTCTGGTTTCACTAGCAGTCTCGCGTTATGTCAACTCCGAGAGTTCCAGATAATCTCTATCACATCGTTGCTCCGACGCGCTATTGACGGCGGTCTAGAGCTTTGTTTTCTGCTCCTCACGTGGCTCGACTCTGCAGAGAGTACCGAGCCCGATAGTTGAGTACGGTGAGAGTTTATTAGGGGGTTAGCGACCGTGCATTTCTCCAGAGAGGATTGAAAATCATCCGATAATTATCACCTAATATATAAGTCGTGTTCCCTCTTGTTCTCTCCGAGTTCCATTCCAACGATCGATGGTCTGAGCGGTGTTGAGGTTCTTCCACAAGCTCCATCGAGTGCGGAAGAAGGTCCATTTCAGCCTAGAGTATCGATGTGGCTAGGTCTTCTCGATGGAGTCGTCCGGCCCACCCCGGACCGACCGGAAGCTTACGGATGCCTAGTCCAAAGGTACTCAGGCTCTTGCGAGGACTCGGATGAGGATCCAGTCATGAGCTGGACAGGAGATAGCGAAAAATGTGTCCTCCGATCCCTCTATGACAACAAGCGGAGATCTGTAACAGAATAAAGTCTTTTAAAACCTGGCGAAAAGGACAGAAGTATACTCCATCTTGTATTCATTGTACCTATTGCTACCTATCGACTCAGTCGCTTGGGAGCAAGCTAGGGCTTGAAACTGAACAAGGTATCTCCCGATCGACGATCATTGGTCTTCCGATACCTGTCTCTAGCGATACTCAACAGCGGCTCAGAACGAGTAGAATACACAGTTTTCACCGTGACTCAATTGAGCTTGCCGACAGCTTTTGGCGTTTGGCTTACAGAAGAGCTTTTCGATGAGCCGAACTGCGATCAGAGACATCCGTTTATTTTCAGTTTCCGCTCGCTGTTTATGATCTGTGGTTCGAAATTCTATCTTATTGAACAGGAAAAGTGTTTCTCGGGGAAAAGCGGCTCTTTCGAGAGGCCCGACGATTATTTTTTGTCTGATTTTAGAGTTCGTATTCCCTGCTTCTCTGTTTATGTTATAATGGGCAGCGGTATTCGATGGCGGATACTCGGGCTTCGAACATGCCCGTACGCACACAGGATCGCAAGCGGTGCTCAAAACGTCAGTAGAGCTTGATCTTTGCTCGATGGCATCGGTAGAGAATCGAACTAAGTCTCCAGTCGACTGTTCAAATCATCCCCATTCCGGATTTTGCGACGTCAATGCATGGGATCCATTCAAGTCTACCGGAAATCCGATCTTTCATGTTCCCATGAATGGAGAGAGCGGAAGAATTTCCATGAATGAATGCGTGGAGTGCGTCTGGGGAAAGAGAATGGCCAGAGATTGGTCGGCATAGACGGGCTGAGTCGATCGTGACCATTTCGATGAATGAATTTCGACGACTTCTGGTCTGCGTTCGCTCTCGGCGGAGCGGGTCGTGCTCGGATCAGATCAATGATCGCTAAGGACGTTGCTCGTTGTCTATGCTCGTTCTAGTGATTGAATCAGAGGACGATCATCTGACGAGTGAATTGACTTTGAGAAACTAAAAATTGCGCTACTTCTCTTCTCCTACTATCGAGGCGGAAGCGAATCGTAGACCGAACCGTAGATCGCGGACGTTCATTTCGAAGAGGAAAGCGATTAATCTAGCAAGGGAAACGAAAACGAAAGTCGCTCACAGCGGAGTTCTGGCGATTGTCGATCTCTTCAGAGAAGCGAATCGCTTCTCCTCCGATCCAGAGAAGTCGGAATAGAAGAAAAGCCTCCGCCGTTCTGAGCAGGTGACTCAAGTGTTATCGAGAATACGGCTCAGCGGCACGGAAGTAGGAATAACTACCGCAGTTTGCTCGACTCCCGTCGCATTGAGAGCCGAGTCATCGGCAAACGAGCCATTCATCTTCCGTTGTTGAGAATGAAACTCGAGGCAACTACGCGAGACTGGGGAGACGGAAACCTGAGTTGCGTATCTCCCGAGCCGTCCCGAGGATCAGTCCTCATTTAGAATATGGAGGGACTCTGGGCTTACGAATAGGCGGCCAAATTTCATTTGAGACCCGTGTGAGACTCGTTGTGAAGATGTGTGACCTGTTACCTTGGTGTGGAGCTGGGATCCTCTTTGGACTATGCTTGAACTCCTCGAGCCGGTCCGCTGTGGAGGGCTGCGGTCGAGCTATGACGTGCGGTCTCGAGTCTCTCGGTCTGTGCATGCAAGGAACCGCGGAATTCTCTCGGTGCTGCGAAATAGTTGGGAGGTGCGTCGTCAGCCTCCGGAGGAGAATAAACTCCGGACTATATCTTAAGAATCGTCCGAGAAGTCGAATCGGAGGCCAAGCTAGGCCAATTATTCAGCGCCCCGTTCCGGCGTAGGATTTCAACTCAGTTGGAGATATTCGTATACTTCCTTATCATTATCAGACAACAGACATAATTCGAAGATTTTCGTTCAGACTCTCCCGAACGTGAAGCGGATGGGATGTATAGAGAAGCACTGGTCTCTCGTGAGACTCGCCTGGTTTACCGCGAGTCGAGTCCCTGAGAAGTGCCAAGTCATCTCTTTCTGTCTGGCCGTCTCATCCGCTATGGTGGAAATCCCAGGCTTAGGGGATGCTCCGCCACTTGAACGGGTGTATTATGGCCTGGAACAGAATAAGCTCAAACATAGATGCTCACGTCATCGAGGTTAATGGATCCCGAATCTGAATTCATCTTCCATAGCCGTCCCTCCCGAGGTATCAGACTAGCTCGAACAAATCTAGGAGATTCGCGACGCGTCCCGAACGTGGTAAGCGAATGGTGCTCAGCTCTTTTCGATATATGTTAGCCCCGGAAAGCACGCCTTGAAGTAAAGGTCATGAAGTCACGAGAACGAGCGGCATATGCTCTCACCGATGAGAGCTCACCCTATTTCGGATGGAGCGCCTATTCCAACCCCGGCAAGATCATCGGTATCATGGTGCCTGAGCTTGCGCTAGGCTCCCATTCCGTTCATCGCGGAGTCAGCGGGCGCGACTGACCCGCCGATGGAGGATCGGTCGGGCACGAGTACCCCGCTTCTCTCCGCTCCCCGGTGGGTTAACCGTTCCCTTCCGATATGTGGGGATTCTGCCTCGCCACAAAAATGTCGGTGCCGCTGTCACATCGGATTCGAGAACAATGCGGATAGTGATACCGAAATAATGGGGCACGGCGGAGACCGAGGTTAATGGGGAAGATCGAATCTTGGGAGGTCCGAGAGTCCTAGACCGTGATCAGGTTCTGAACTTAATTATCAACCATGAAAATTGAAGATTCAGGAGGCGAGTGTGTCAGAATGGCAGGGCATCCCACGACAAAAAATTTATTCGATCTTGACGACATTGTCTACACCTGACAGGCTCCTAAAATGCATCTGGAAATTCCTCCATTCCGCAGAACTCTAATTCTCGCAAATGTCGCTACCTATTCAAGAGGTCTCTTCTTGCCTCTCTTTTCGAACGGTAATTGAACTGTCTGCATGAATAGAGTCGTATTGTCCCGAGACTCCAAAACGTCTAGCAGAACATCCTCGCTGGCGGTGAGGAGCTCCTTGAGATTGCTGAAGCGACGCATGATTTTGTACTTGCAGTGAGCTCCGACTCCCGGCAGGGTTTCAAGGAACCTCTAGAAGAGTGTAGGATGGATTAGAACTTCTGAGGGAGATGAATGGATCTATGGATGCCTCTGACAAGGCACCAGGGAAGTCCGGTAGGTTCTCCATTCACCGTTGTTCGAGTGTTGAATCTTTCCAGGAGTCCATCGTCTCGCTTGATTTCGCTCTCGGTGACTTTCAGAGCTTCAACGAGCGTGGGTTGCGGTCGATCCTTCTTCAACAACTCAAATAGTTCAGCTGTCGCATGCGGACTGGGAGACCACAATAGACGCAACTTCGGGAAAGTCAGAGTGAGCATGATGAGCCGTTGTACTGTTTTCTTCGATATGATCTCGCTCTGAAGTTTATTCTGCAATCGAAAGAGCGTTTCCCTTCGGGAGTCACGGGGGAATCTATGCGGGGATTGAAGCCGACGACGGAGCTTGAGGCTTCAGGTGGAAGGTCTTCGCAATCTGATTATTCACCTTGAAGGAGAAGGCTTCCAAGCTGCTGAATTCTATGAGGACGACGGGGACCTCGTAGTGGAGACTCATCCGCTCTGATTGTCGGTACAGTCTCCCGGAACACAATGAATCAATGAGATCTTGAAGTGCTTTACGCTCCACGCAAATGGTGGGTGTCAAAATGTAATCGCCGACCTGGAAGAGGGGAAACTCTGCACTCAGATTGACTGACGAGAAGGAATGAATGCTGTTGTTATCATTATTATCATATCACAGAAACGTGCGAAAAGTGCGGACGATTTGGGAGACGAATCATCAATGTTAACGTATTGAGTAGGACCTCGAGGTGTTAACCCGGTACTAACTTCCAAGGTTCCCGGACATAGATCGATACCCCTCCTGTAGACGAGAGCCGGGAGATCGCTGCGGAATTCCCGAACGTCCACGATAACCTAAGGGAAGAAGAGACAGGATGACGCTCAGCTCCATTATACTGTTACCGTAATACAGAAGCGGGATGTCGGAACTTGGAATGGCCAGGAAAGTTGAGGAGCATCCTCGTACCCTATTTTCGCCGCGAGCGACGTTGATTTCCTCGTCCCAGTCAGTTTTCGAAGCCATAGCCTGGAAAATATCAAGTTCGGACCCTCAATCAGCAGCTGAAAATTTTTCGAAAACACCTGAGGGAGGAATTCCTACTCACCGCTTTCTCTTGGATTAGGTTCGCGAATGCTTCCTTCTCTTTCCTCACGGAAGTGTAGTAGCGCTGCTCGTCAACCGACTTCGCGTAGGTGATGGTGTACACAGTAACCTGCGGATGATCGATTTTCTCGCAAGGCGTTCTAATTGGAAGAGTCCGTTCGAGGGTTTTCACAGTGCCTGTTTGACTTGCGGAGCGACAGGCGTGAAATCGGAGACACAAAGCAAAAAAGTGAAAACACTCACCCCGCTCTGCGTGCTCAAGTTGTGGTATATTTCGAGAGTTCGCACAGTGCTCAAATGGAGATCGAAAAGAACGACGCTGAGGGGTCTCTGCTGCAAGAGCAGTTCTTCGAACTCGAACGGATTCGAAGTCGTGACGGACACGATTGTGTACGACGGTTTGCTGCGTCAGAAGAAAATTAGTTCGAGCCGACACGTTCTGATTTTCATCGATCTCCTCGGTCGAAGGGAATCGTAGTAGGACCACGGTCAAGAACGCTCACCCGTCTATTTTCTGCAATTCCAAGTGGGCGCTGTAAGCATCGTCGTCGCTGTCATCGGATTCACTGCTTTTTGTCTTCTTTTTGGTTCTATTGTCACTTTCAACACTACTGTCACTTTTGTTGTCCTTTTCATCCCGGGGGAAGACCACGTTCTCCTCTGCGTCGGCGAGGAGTTTCTGGAACGCTGAGCGGAGGACCCGATAGGAGCCCACGCAGAGGAACTGAAAGCCCGATGCCAGAAAATCAGCGGAGGGGAATCTGGATGGCCAAGTAATGGACCATATGGTGGGGGGAATAGAGTAATTCGCCGTATCAAAGAAGGACGGGACTCGCACCTCCTCCAGTTGACGACGCGTTCTCTCCTCTTCGACTACGATGACAATGTTGCCTTTCGAATCACAGTTCTTCAGTACCTCTATCAGAGATATCCATTTCGGCGGAACCTCCGGCTTGAACTCCTGCAAATCACCGTAGTGAATATCCTCTGTTTCTAGCGAAGAGGCAAGGCCGTACCGATTCGCGAAGGGGAAAAATTTTGGCACCGAGAAATGATTATCCCTCTGAAAACGGGCTCACCTTCTCTCGATCTTTCTTTGTGCCTTCTACCTTCGCGAAAACCCTTTTCTCAGCAGCCAGATATAAACTCTCGCCCGAATCCATCAATGTCCAATCGGCAGTCTGGTGACACCCCTGCTTCGCATGCCATACCGACTTCACCGAATGAAAGAAAGTGACGGGATCGTACTTCGTGAGGCCGCTGTGCAGAGACGAAGATTTAGCGATTCCGCTCAGAGAGAGTCGAGCTCTTGGAATTAGGGTAATCAATGATCCTTAGCTTCGAAACTTCGGTCTTCCCACTCACTCCATGAGCTTCTTGAGATTCTTCAAATCACCGATGCTCCGACGGGTTTTCCCAGAAAGGAGGTGCCACTGCGGGTCGATGCAAGTCTTCATCGTGGCATAGAAAGATTTCCCCATCACGTTCGCCGTCGTGAATTCATCTATATTGAGCTGTAATCGCCACACGGGAGCTTTGAGTTCAGATTAAAACAAAATCCCGGAGCTCTTCTAATCGGCTCATCTCAGATATCTCAAAGCCGGCGAGTCCTGCTGATCAATTAATCCTCGCACATGGAGATTCCCTACCGTTTGGTTCAGTTTTTTTATATCTCGGATGCTGATTTCTATGAGATCCATCAGTGCGAATTGTATTTGTTCCATCGATTGTGTCAACGGGACGTAGGTCTCATAAACTTCCAGTGACTCATTCAGGCTCTCCTTCACCGACTCGTGGAATCTGCGGGGAAAATGAATAATAGGGAGGAAGAAACAATACCGCGGGATACCCACGACGAGCGTCAGCGGGACCCGAATTATTTCCCATCAAATCACCTTGGGTACAGGATAAGATGTCTGACGTATAAACGCGACATCACCCGAGTGAGTTGCATGAACTCTTGAGTGAATGCAGGTGCCTTGGAAGACAAGGCTTTGACGAAACCGGTCCGATTCTTGTCGCGATAGAGCCGTAGGATGAAAAGATCTTGCTGCGAATTCTGAACTCTGAGGGCGGGGAGAACTATTATAATTTTTGAACACTAGGCTTCCCTCAACAGAAATCTCCTCGACTGGAGTCGCAGGTTGGAGACGGAGGAAATCGGGCTTACGTTTCGGCATTATTGACTATGAAACCCGTGACGTGCTCAATGGGTATTCTCTCGTTCAGGAGGTCACCGATCAAGATTCGTGACGTGACGAAAAGCACTCCACCTGGGGACGTCGGGAAGGATTTTAGCACTTGATTGTCCAGAGGAGCCCACCCTCAAATGCAAAGATAACCTCCGAAGGCATACTTCGAAATATCCATTTACTCGCCTTCCTTGTAGAGCTTCGTGCGAGCGTTAGTGTCGAAGGCATCAGAGGTGATCCATTTGGGCATATTTTTCATGCCGCCTTTCTCGAGACGGGCCTTTATGTACACCTGAATTGGAGATGATCATGATCAACATCCCGATTCGTAATCCACGCGCTTCGCAGGCGAAGATTCCAGCTCAGCATCTGGGCATTTAATACAATTTTTTAACACTACCTCTTGATCAGGCTCCGTCCCGAGAATGATCACCAAGTTCTCCGGTGCATGGTATACCCTGATCAAAGCATGGAAAATCGAGTGTAGCCCGAGTCCTCTGTAATAAATCGATGGTATCGTCAAATGAAGCTCTCCTCCCATAGAGAAGCTAGACATTCAGCAAATTGCATTTACCGAGCAGTTATTAGTAGAGCATCTCTGTCGACAATGTCTGTCAGAGCTTCCTGTTGATACTTGAGCAGCGGCGTTTTCTCCAGGAGAGCGTCGAGGAGCTTTCTGTTTTCTGCGGATTTCGCCTCTGTCATTTCGAATGTTGGAAGAGCTCTCCCAGCCGAAACAATTTCGATCACGGTGTCCCGGTTCTCGATTTCCGCCTTCACGAAGACACTGCCATTCCCCGTCAGTCGCTTGAAGAGCCGTGCACCGGTGCCACACAGATATAGCCGAAAATTACGCCGCTCAGTCGCCGGTTCAGGTCAATTGAGAGGATCGGGGCCAGGAGCCGAAAATCAGCTGTTGCTAATTTTGGGCGCCGGCGGCGCGGCCAGTCAAAAGGTTCGAATGTTTCCGAGGGTGAGGATGTGGATGAAGTGATCTGTGCTCCCGCAGCAGCGATGACCCTGACAGGTGAACGAGGCGAGCGCGTGATTTGAAACTGCGAAGTTCTTCCAGGAACGGAATTTTCGAAGGAATGGCTTCATAACAGAGATGTGCATGAGCGAAATTCAAACAGATTTCTTCCCATGTGACTGTCTGACTGAGGCATCCGTGGTTCTTCCGGGGCATGGATTTCTCGGCAAACAGGTATCCAGCGCAATGGCGACCAAGAACTCAGTGGAAGGCGAATTGAAAAGTAGGTGTATGGATCGAAACCGAAAACCTGAGTTCCGCATCGAAATCGTGATCAGTTTTCATCGTGCGCGATCTCGGCATACAGGTGAGAAGCAGGGGATGCGATGGGGAAGCTTCGTCCTAAAGGGGATACGACGTCGGATCGGAAGATGTTCAAGAGACGAGCCGAAGTAGCTACTCGAGCGATCCCGGAGCACATCGCTCTCATCCCCTCCCTGCGCTCATAATCAATGAGTTGATGCTTGCGGAGTTTTTTTCGAATTGCGCGCCGCAAGAAGTCCCTAAGCCGCCATCTTGGATATACACGTGTGGCCGAGCTCAACGCGTTCATCCAGCTGTAAACAAGCGAGTGTTGTTCGAACGAAATTGAGGTCCTCCTCGGAGTTTTCTTATATCCGCAATGGACACGATCCTTGAGCGACAGCGATCCTTCCATGAGGAGCAGGAGCGATTAGTCGACGCTCAAGTCAAGGAGATCCTTCACAAGAAGAACACGCTGCGTGAGCAAATCAACTCCGACCACAGAGTTCGCGGGCTCCTCGACCGCTACCTTGATGTGAGTAACTTTGAAATTTTGACGCTCTGATAATGCGAATCGATAGCTTCTCTAACTCCTGCCGAAGAATTCGTGACCGTCTAAATTATCACACCAAACCAAGACCTGAGCCTTGTCGCTTCCAGGTGTCGCAGAAACTGAAAGACTTGTACGACGACGCTGACGGCACCCGGCGAGAGGAGATAAGAACCCTGTCAGGTCCGAACGAGATGATCGAGTTCTACAATCGACTCCGGTCGCTTAAAGACTTCTACAAGAACAACCCAAATGAAATTCACGTGCCCATGTCGGTCGAGTTCACCCAGATGGACGAGGCGAGGGAAGCCGGAATCGACGAGAATGTGGTGGAGTTCACCGATGAAGAAGGCTACGGGAAATATCTCGACCTGCACAGCTGCTACGAGAAGTTTGTGAACCTCAAGGGCATAGACAGAATCGACTACATCACTTATCTCAACACATTCGACCGCTTGTTCGAAATACCGAAGGAGCGCAAGAATTCCGAGTACAGACGGTACCTGGACAGCCTTCATAACTACCTGGAGGATTATCTCCTCCGGATCAAACCTCTGACGAATCTAGAGAAGGCCTCGATAAAAATCGAAAGCGATTTCGACAAGCAATGGTCACTGGGTCAGTTCCCGGGATGGCCGAAAGAGAGCGAAGGGGCTCTGGCTCACACCGGCGCTCATCTAGATCTGAGCGCTTTTTCCAGCGCTGAAGAGCTCGCTTCGCTCGGTCTGGACCGTTTGAAGAGCGCTCTGGTGGCTTTGGGTCTGAAATGCGGAGGAACTTTGGAAGAACGCGCGCAGAGGCTCTTCACGACCAAAGGCAAGAGCATGGAAGAAATCGATCCTGCTCTACAAGCGAAAAAGAAGACGAAAGACGGCTCCTCGATCAAGAATCGGGAGGTCGCTCTCATCGAAGCTCATGTGTACTGGTTGTCGGAGCAGTTGTCCGAGCAGAGAGCAGCGTCCAAAGAGAACGTTCAGAGACGCCAGGCTCGAACCGCGGGTGAACGGCAAGACAGCGACGATGAGAGCGCTGACGAGGTTTCCGACGACGACGATCAGGAGGACGTCATCTACAACCCGAAGAACCTCCCGCTGGGATGGGACGGGAAACCGATTCCTTACTGGCTGTACAAACTCCACGGTCTCAACATAAGCTACACGTGCGAAATATGCGGGAACTTCGTCTACAAAGGTCCCAAGGCTTATCAGAGACATTTCGCCGAGTGGAGACATGCGCACGGGATGCGGTGCTTAGGAATCCCGAACACGGCGCATTTTGCAAATGTCACTATTATAGAAGATGCCATGAACCTTTGGCAGAAACTTCAAGACGAAAAGTCGAAACAGAGGTTCCATGCGAAAACCGAGGAGGAATTCGAAGACAATGCCGGCAACGTCGTCAACAAGAAAACATTCGAAGATCTTAAACGGCAAGGCCTTCTGTAGAATAATCTGTACATATTCCATTGCATACATGAGATGCGTTCGGGGCGATGGTGCTTGGAGATCCGAATAAAGCCATCCTCACGGATTCTATGCAGTTTCCTTGTTTTTTACGGCGAATAAACTCTCCATGGGCGGCGTCGCGAGGACTTCCCAAAGCCCGGGAATTCTGGAGGTTCTCTCAGTGGGGATTCTTTTCAGGGATGAGCAGAGCAAATGCGAGCTCCCTGAGTTACTATGAATGCTCCGTGGAGCTCAGTACTAAGTAACTCACGAATTATAAACTTTGCATATAATTATGATGCCCATTCTCTCTTGATGCTCGGTGACAGGGGAGGAGAATAGAGCACCGTGATTCCAGCTGCGAGGTGAGAGCCTGCCTCGAATCCTCATATTCTCGAGACGTATGGTTCCTTATGAAATCTCGTCGAGCTTCCTTCTTGACACAGAAGTACGACATCTGGCCCAATCCCGCGGGATGATTCTCACTGGATACTAAAAAATTATGTTTCATCGAGTCGGTCGCGTTCCGTTCATTTTTTCCGTCACCCGCCTCACCGGAATCTTCAAAATAATAAAAACAGAGAAAAATAAGCTATTCGGGAGTTTCGGGAGCACCTACTGGGAGAGCAGCCGGGACGAAATCACAATGGCCGCCTTAGTGTTCGATTTCGTTTCCATGCCGCATCAAGGAAAGGTTGCTTCCTTGTCAGACTAGTGTCTACTCATTTCGCCGGGCGCTCGCTAGGTCCGTGGTGGCGATAGAGTGATAGTCGTCGACTTCAGCGACTGACCGACATAAAATCGGCGATCAGAGGGCTGGACGGAGCTGCAGTTCAAAATGGCGAAACGGAACCATCTATCCATCGGTCGGTCGGTCCACTGACGACGTCGACGTAAGGCATCATGGTCCGTGGACGGAGCTGGAATGGTGAACGACATCGAAGGTCGAAAGGTCGCGGGCGTCAGTGAGCCAGCCAGCCAGCCGGTCAGCGGTTCGAGCACCTTGCTCGCTCCGCTCAAGGTGGGTAAATCCGGTGGTGCCACGAGCGCCGACGATACCGTAGGCGCCACCGAAAACGCCAAGTGACTTCGACGACAATCGAAAGCACCGTCTGCCAACGATAGAATAGTTGTATTTCACAGAGGCAACAACACGGCAGTCGTCAAGTACGAGAGACGACACCAATAGCTTGCGATTCATGTTAGCCAGATGTCCAATCGGACGGCGAAAGGGCGCATCGACGGACGGACGAGCATCTCCAGCAGAAACTGACCATTGTTGGGCGACGCGAACTGTATCACCCCACCGGGCGGGAGGGCGGGAGAGCGAGCGAGCAAGCAACACCATCGCTAGAAGACGAATGAAGATCAAGAATAAAATGAAGTCGAAAGGGTCAGTCGCGAGATCAAAGAATGTGATGTCCATGGACACTCGCGGATAGATGTTCGGACTTCAGATCTTCCGCAGTGAGGCTCGCCTGGCACGAGCCGGGTTCGCGCGCGACGTTGAGCTATCGAGATTGAGCCGAAGTGAAATATGAACCATGATGACGTGACAAGATGCTCGTCGAGATACCCGATCGCGGGCTAGGACCTTGCTCGCTCGGACGTTGGTCCGTCCGCGTGCCCGGCGACTTGCGCCACGGAGGACCTGATCGTGTCCGCCCACACGACATCAGTGCACTGACGTTCATATCCGACGCTCTTTTCGATATCCTCACCCATAACCTTCACGAGCATATCCTGAAACAGCGCTTATTCTCAGGCGTGATGCGTTGATGGGGCGGGATTCGCTCGATTCCTCCTCTGGGGAGCAAATTGAGCTTGGTTCGAGTCCTCCTCAGCATTCGAGTCGGGAGGCCGAGTGCAGGAGATTTCGGAACCAAGAGAGAGTCCTTCAGGATGAAAATTCTGACGTATTCCTAGGAAAGAATGATTCGGGATCGTTTCGGATCCTCGAAGCCCATGACTGATCGAACCACAGGCGGTTTAACACTCGGTTTATGGATGGTGACGTAGGTGATGGAGGGCTCGCGCTAACTGAGACTTACGAGTACCGTCTACTCGAAGCGAGCCAAGTCCCATCATGCATCGATTTGATCTTAGGAAGCAGCCATCCCGAGCTCCTTTGGAATACCTTCGGTTTCGGGTTCCACGAAGGCTCCCGACGCTCCCGTGAAATTAAGCGCCCTCGACGGAGCTTCACTTCCCACGAAAATCCGAGGATAAGAGGCGTTCCGAACCATTTCTCTGACCGAGGACAAGATCCCGGACTTCTAAACCATGCTCTTATCCTAAAGACCGACTATATGAATCAATTCGAGCGGGCGTACCCACATCAGGCTACTCCGGCACTCCTATTCCGGGAAGGAGCATCATCCCGCAGAGGCGAATGATTTCTCCTAGAGTCAAGCTCTGGGGTCTACGGAAGGATCGGTTGGAGAGTGCTCCGGAGTAAATTATTCGCGCTTGGCCGTGTGATTCGCGGAAGCGATCGCCGCTGCTCCATCCTCCACCTCTTCCGATTTCAGTCGCAGTGCTTCCTGACGGTTCTGGGCAGCTCATAATTTTGTAAGGATTCGTCTGCTCTTGCCTCGCTTGCCAATCGTCCGGTCGGCATAGCTGCTGTTGGTGCTCGTGGTCGATGTTCATGTTGGCGCTGCCACCATCGCCGAAGAGGTAGTGGCCCAGTGGACCCTTCTCTCGGGTGGCTCGTTGCCGTCGTCGTCGTCGTTCGTTCTCCCTTACCGACGAACAGAGCGTCAGCATAGCGCAGCCAGAGGCGGGAACTACGGCAGCAGCGTGGAAAGGCGTCAGCTGGCGAGAAGAAGCACCAGGCGCCGCCTCACGAGCGTCAGAAGCTTTCTGGTCCCCGTCGGTTGCGTGTCGTAGTCGTCCACAGCTGGAGTTGATTGATACAGGTACACGCGGATCCGAACAGGTAGATCCGGTGCACCGATTGTGCACCCGACTGGGAGACCGAGTGAGAAACCGTTCCACTGTCTGAGGGTCTGTCTGCCTGTCTTTCCGCCGTTCCCGCGTTTTCTCACTTCTTCTTCGGATATACTGTGATACAGTGGTGAACTCCGCTGCTCCGGACTAGAGCAAGTGCCGCCAAACTCACCGGACTCGATAATAATTATAATAATTATTATTATAATAATATTCGGTCTAGACTCTTTGTGATTGATCGTGGTGCAGCAATACTTGTGAGGTGCCCGAATAGGAATCCGATCGATCGGTCGTACCGTCGTTCGGCGACATGGCGAGCTATCCGCCGGAGCAAACCTCGGACCACGTTGACCTCATGAACATGGCAGCCTCCCAGAGCTCGATGCACGACACCTCGTCGCCAGGATCTCGACCCGACTCGCCGTCCTCGGTGAGCTCGTTCCCAAACCACTTCGACTCTTGGCCCGGTAGCATAGCCGCGCAGTACCAGGAAGGCTTCTCGACAGCTGCGATGCAGAGTGCAGGACATTCTCAGGAAATGTTCACCAATGAGAAGGAGCAACAACTGCAGTTCCAGCAGCAACAGCAGCAGCTGGCCATGCAGCAGATGGCGGTTGCGGCCCAGCAGCAGGCTGCCGGAGGCAAACGGGCTCAAGAGACTCGAATTCGTCGACCGATGAACGCCTTCATGGTTTGGGCGAAGGTTGAGCGCAAGAGGCTGGCGGACGAGAACCCTGATCTTCACAACGCCGATCTCAGCAAAATGCTAGGTAAGCAATATTCTACCTCTTGCTCTCGTGTCTCCTAATGTCAGAATGCAAGCCGATCGCTCTCGTTCTGGTTCAGAGGAACGCAGTGAAGTGTCGCAGGGTCACCATCCCGATATTATGGACGTGAAGGTGGGGAATACTTCTGAGCGAGAGTTCTGAGGATTCTGGAGCTCCCCGACGCTCATGACTCTTGAGGCTTAAGACCTCTCGTGCAACTTGGGTCGCTCGACTAAAATTTCGGAACTACCGGCCCGAGACTCGGCCTCGCTCGAATGTTGAATAATATTTATAGGATGAATCCGGAATTTGAGCTCTTGCTGGAAGCAAGCGGTGGATTCCGGGAGCTTCCGCCGTTCCGGAGGAAGTTACTCCTCCGGGATGCGTGGTACAGCAGATGTCAGGAGCCGATGAATCGTTCGCCGAAGCCGGTATGCCGTCGACGTCGTCAGAGCCGTACTTGTTAATCGTGCGCAAATCACTCCGACCAACCATGTAATTTAAGTCAAACAGAATTCGCAATAATACTCGGTGAGTTAGCGTGGGAGGGAAACGTTGTCGTTCAAAGTGCAACACCGTTGCGACGTACGCTGCTCACGCGCTAGTACGTATCTTGCGGATTCTGATACAAAGTCTTCGACTCGGTTTCTGGTTGGCTTCATCCAGCGAGACGTCGCAGACATCCGCGATGGACTTCGCTCGCTCGCTCGCGGACTAGCAGAAGCTAGAGCTAATAGTTCTGTTTTTGGAGACTCGAACGCTTTTGCGGATGAGGAAAATTCCGGGAAAGTGGATTTCTCTGACGGCTGATTCCGTTTAATGCGGCGGCTCGGTCGGAGCGGGACAGTCAGAAAGTCAGTGGTAGTGCAAAGTTCCCTGGTCACAAAGGGGCTCCGAGCCTCTCGACGAAAGTCGCGACGCTCGAACGTCGTCGGGTCCCTATTCGGACCAGAATTTCCTGATAAGAAAGTGTGTTGCCATTCGTAGCCCATGCAGCGGCGAGAGGCCGCCGCCTCGAACCGTTTCTGCAGTAGACATTCCGCCTATCCGGCATAGAAGCCGCCGAGAAGAGTTCAATCGGGACTCCCTCGAAAGCAAATCCAACCGCTTCAGCGAGGGGACATTCGGACATATCACTCTAGTCCCCCATTTCTTCCAATAATTTTTGTTGTTTCATCGCTTGATGGAAAATCGTTGGATTTCGATCGGGAAGCACAGCAACTGCGAGGATGGGAACAACCTGCTCCGCAGGAACAAAGCTATGCCTGCATTGAATGATAACTACCGAAATTACCTCGTGTTGGCATTCTGCTCCCTTCTGCCGCCCATGTCGATTCAAAGATAACAAAACGAGCAGCGAAAAAAAC